CTGAAGTGCAAAACCATAGCAAAGAAATTTGAGTTAATTAGAAACCAATGGCTCTGAAACTATTTGAATCTCAGGAGTTTCACGGATTTGTTTCATGAACTAATTCTTACCTTGTAAAACACTTATTGTCAAACCCTATGAAGCCCCGTGAGGCTCAGATGAAGAGAAAAATTTTACCTTTAAAAGCAAATATCAAAAGAAAGAAGAGCTGCTCTTTCTTGCACTGTACAGAAACAACCTGACTCTGTCCTTGTATTCCTGTATTTCTTTGCTCAGTTATTTACCCTAAGGCCATGAACGCCATCAACTTATCTAAGTTCATTCATTCCTGCCACTTATCTTACACAACATTGCATGTTCCCAAATTAGCCATGCTCATTTATCTTTCTTTCTTTCTAAGTTTTGAATCATGACTCAAAAAATCTGGGATCGATATTTGGTACAGTGGGTAATACATTGATTGGGATGCCTGTAATGCAAGTGAAGTTCCAGATCTATTCCTAGTTTCAGGTTCCTGATTATGCACAGCCTACGAAATGGGAATGATGGCTCACGTTGCCGGGTCCCTAGCACATAAATGGCAGAGCTTCATTGTGTTCTGTGCACCTGACTTTGGTGCAGTACCAGCTGTTCAGGCATTTAGGCATTAACTCAGCAAATGGGAGATTCTCTCTCTCTCTCAATCTCTCTCTCTCCCTCTCAATCTCTGTGTCTCTATAATATGTGTAAAATAAACCATAAATAAATAAACAAAGCTTTCATTCTGTCACAGCAACTGATCTTAGCGTGCTGCAAAAAGGATCAGAACAGGACCGATAACTTTAACAGGCAAATAAATCAAGGGCTTTGCGGGAAGGTAAGCATCAGAAGTACTTATATACCCTAAAAGATTTTACTGCATGTGGATTTCAGGAGGACAAAGGAAGACAAATAAAAATGGTCCAACAGGTGAACAGGGACAGAGCATAATTTAGAGCAGGTGTGACAAATAAGTAGTGCAAATCCATAATGCCACACTTCAGCACAGGCAGCAGATGTGGCTCATGGAAGCTTTCTGGGTGTGCCTGCCAACCTCTCAAACCTTCCCAGGGTAAAGTCTGAAGTGAGAGTGAGAAGCAGTGACAGCTGACAAGCAAGAGAAAGCAGTCTTGCTCGGGGGACTCTGTTACAGAACAGACCTCACCTCTGGGTCAGACTCTGCAGTGTTCTTGGAACACTTCCTTCCAATGAGCTTGCCCAAGGATGCAGTATTAGAATGACAATGCTGATACTGCCTGAACCATTTCAGAAGTAGGACTTTCTAGGAATGATCTCCAGTATCAGCTGATAAAACATGCACATTCATTATCTCTCTCTCTCTCCCTCTTGCTTCTATACACACACACACACACACACACACACACACACACACACACACACACACATCATGCCTTTAGAGTTTACATCTTTGTTTTGATCAACTATAACTAACCTGGTCACTAGAGAACACGAGCATTCAGATATACTTGTTTCTTTTCAGTATTAATACTCACAATCAAAGAATGAAGCTTTGCCCCAAGTACCCCTTGTTGCCTTTCCCTGTCCTTGCAATCTGCCATGTTGCCAAGTCAAGCTAAGCTGAATTAAGCTTCTGCCTGTGATGCCATCATTTCATATTTGGAGAGTGGGTTCAAGGCCTGGCTCTTTCCCTTTCAACTCCGCTTTCTCCTAATGTTCCTGGGGAGGCAGTGGTAGATGGTAGAAATTCCTGAGTCACTGTCACGCTTTTGGGGACCAAGATGGTGTTCCTGGCCACTGGCTTTGGCATAGCTCAGAACCAGCTTTTGTAGCATTTGGGAAGTGAATTATAGATGGAAGAAATCTGTGTGTGTGTGTGTGTGTGTGTGTGTGTGTGTGTGTGTGTGTGTGTGTGTAGTGTTTCCCATTTCACCATTTAAACAAACTAAATCTTTAAAAAAAACTCCTGCTGCACACAGAAGCCACAATACAACAATAATTGGAGATGTGGTCTTTGGGGAGGTGTTTTGGCTTGATGTTGAATGTCATTATAAAAAAAAGGCTTGCAAGAATGGGTTTGTTCTTTTCTCCTGAGGACAGGACGTCCTTTGCTCTGGAGAACATAGCATTCAAGGCACAAAAATGCAAGCAGAGAGAGCAGGTGTTCATCTGCCACTGTCTTGAACATAGACTTTCCATCCATTAGGACTGTAAGAAATACATTTCTTTTCCTTATCAAGCATCTATTTTCAAATATTCTCTTACAGCAACACAAATGAACTAGACACCTGCTTTCATCTTCTCTTTATATCTGCCATCATTCTTCTTAGTTTCCCATCTGGATTTTCTTCCAGGCAAACTGAAAGGTGGAATGAAATATTTTCCCTCTCACACAATCCCTTCCACTTCCATTAATGGTCCCTCAGTTCTTTTCTTTTTTGAGTAATTTTCTTTAGCAAAAGGAAGCCAGCTATCCAGTAGGACCACTTTTCATGGGTTACAAAACTCTTAGGTATTTATGGCTTTATTTTCCTAATACATTCACTTAAAATGTCCAGAGTAAAAAGCTGGTTTTACAACCAAAATTTGCAGACTTTCTTGGATTCCTGTATTACCAAGTATGGCAAGGAGCCTACTCCTCTTCCTTGGTAGAAACAAAGATAATGACAACGAGGGAATTCAAAGTAGTTTAAAAGCCGAGAGCAGCAAAAATGATCTCAGGTTTCAGCGAGTCAGACACGTGAGTTTTACCCCATTGTGGATGCTCCAAATTATGGCGTTGCTCCTATAGTTGACTAACCCAAGTCTTGAAGAAAAATCTGTTAAGATTTCCCAACTCTTTAGGCAAGGCAACCTTACTGGAGTTAAGTACCCTAGTACTCCAAGAATGCTCTATTATAATGTAAAACTTCTAGTACTATTACTTTGATTTTTAAAAAAATGTACTATTGTACCATGTGAAATCTAATGTTAAACACGCTTAAAAACATGCAAGACACACATGAACAACAGCAAACAATGGCTTTTCCTTGAATTTCTTGAACTTCAAAGCATGTACAGGGGCAGCTGCTTCTCACACACACGGAAGGTTTATGACGATATAATACATTATAATGGAATGCTATAGTTTGGCTCCAAGTTTCCAAAACCCACATATCAGCTTTGCAAAAATGGTGCCAATTTCGAGAAAACTGTCAGAAAATAAGAAAGTTTCTCTCTAAAAGGTAGAGATATCTTACGGAACACAAGTAGAGAAAAACAGCACTGATAGTAACACAGTATCTGAATTAGAAAGATGCTCAGGGCTGTAGCAAATCATATTTTTCTTAGTAAGTTACATTGAACTAAAAATGCAGATAAATCACCATGAAAATGCAAGTGAGCTGGTAATAATAGCCTACTTACGGCTGCCATGAAATAGTCATTAAATTATATGCAGCATAAATCTCACAGAGTTACGTAAATTATGGTGGTTGTTAAAGGCCAAATAAAGAGAAACTGTCCTGTTACAGCTGCCTTGCTCTTTGCTTCTTGGAGTGGCTTTTGAAAATGTCTACATTTAGCGCCTGAACATCAGATGGCTCCTGAAGCATCTCTGAGATCATTAAAAGTCCACAACTCTATCCAAGACCCCATCTTCCACATTCTAAAGGTAATTATTTCTTATGAGGTCTTCTCTGACCTTGTGGCAGAACTTTGTCCTGCTCTGGCTCTTGCAGGGACCGGACAGGTCTCCAGCTCAAGTTGTGCCCATTTAGCTGCTCCAGGTTCCAAGAAAACATGGAGAAGCAGGTACTAGAGATGGGCGTTATGGCCTCTGAGCTTCCTGTTTGTAGCTCCTGCCAATCAGGTCAAATTCCAGAGGCTGGCAATGGAATCTTACCCTCTGCTTCCCTCTTTTGACCTACATGTGAGTGCAACTCCAAGATTCCCAGTCAATGCTGCCTTTCCTCCTTTTTTGCAGTTTGGTAGTAATCCCCAGATGATTTTTTTTTTCTTAACTGCTTTTTTTTCCACCCTGGCTATTTAAACAGAATCTTATTGTTCCAAATTAAATCCATTCTTTTTAGCCTTGTCACTGCTAACTAATGAGAACAATTCCTCTCTTTGCTCTTGGTGGCTGTACTACGAGTGCTTATAGATGAGAATCATATCTTTCGTTAGCCTACTTTCTTAACTGCAGACTGCACAGGTGATAAAATGGGTTAATTGTTGCTATAAAAATATTTTCTATCCTCATAGCGAAGTCATTTTTTCCTCCAAATCATTTTAATTTCCTAGACTTGCACTGTGTTCTTAAGATCTACAGGGCCTGAGTGTAGCATACTTTTGGGTCCATATATGCCAAATGTGAAGCCCAGAGCTGGACATGCAACACGCACCACTTTGGACGCTTATCTTTTCTTTCTTGCCTGGCCCATTCTGACACTTTGGCTTCAGTTTTTATCACACACAGCACATCTCTTCAAGGAAACTGGCAGCCTCAGAGAGAGAAGTCACCTAAGCATGGTCAGCTGATTTTTTTGTAGATAAAACTTCATTGTAATATAGCCACACACACGTCTAAATAAGCAGATAGATGGTCTGTTGAAGAACTGAGTAACTTTTACAGAGGCTATATGATGGGCACAAATCCAAAATATTTACTGACTGGTTCACCACAAAGTGTCAATCCCTAGCCTAGAAGAACATCACCATCCCAATTGGCTTTGCTAATTGCATCAGGTAAGATAAACACCAGGTCATGTTTTGCTTATAACGAAGCAGTCTGCTGTTTTACATTAGGCCAAGCCACATTACTGGGAAATGGGTCTGGAAGGGAACAATGTCTTTTCCTTTCTACACACACCAGAAAAGAAAATTTTATCGCTAGGAGGTTGCTGGACATCTTCGTAAAGATGGGCATATGCAAGCATATCTAGAATGTTCTGCTGCATTTATCTAACTCACCAACTCAGTCCATCAGCAAGACAAGAAAATCCAGGACAAAGCCAGGTACTCACTATATGAAGCTGCAGGAAATCACCAAGTCCCGGAGCACTGTCGATGCGGACCAAGATGCCATCTTTCACTGTGGTACTGAAGCCCACTGCAAGGCGGTCAGAGCGTGTGCTGGGCCTGTCATTGGCTGGCCAGGTGTAGAGGATGAGGCCACCACTTTTCCCAAAGATGTACGTAGCTCCAGCTGCAAGAACAAGGAGAGAGGGAGACATCAGGGCCAAAGCCTGCAGACAGCCAGCTGCAGCTACACGGTTGAGACTGCACAGGACAGCTGCTAGGAAGAAATGTGCCCATGGGACAGTATTTGGTTATTGAGAGGGATGGCATTCAATGCCTCAGAAAATGGCTGTCACCTCAAATTAAAGATGCCAGCAAAGGGAGGGAATTACAAAACAGGTGCTAGGGAGATTCGTTCTTAGCATCTTCAGCTCCTGCTGTGCAGATAACACACTACACCCAATGGCTTTGGGACGTTGTGTCCATCTTCCTCAAAAGCAGAATTAATTTCACAGTTTTTTTAGGACACCCTTGAGACAGAAAGCATGTCAGCCATTTCCAGGCTTTAGAACATTCTGGTCAGAACCAAGAGTGGTGCCAGATCTGGCAATATACAAAGCACCGTTACTTTCACACTTACATCACAATAAATAAATAAAATAAAGCAAGAAATCTACACTTTGAAAAATCACATGAAGAGGCTGAGTATCCCTTGTCTGAAATACTTTAGACCTGGACTTTTATCAGATTTTGAAAGAGTTGCATTGATATAACAAAATAACCCAGGGATGCTTTTCACGTCAAAACACTATATTCATTTATGCTTATATTTTACACAACGGAGCCTGGAGGAAGATTTGCTCACCATGTTTAGTGCATGGGTTTAATCTTTGTTTTATTTGAAAAGCAGGGAAATACAGATAGGCAAAGAGACTGAGAGAGACACACAAAGAAATCTATTTCCATTTGTTGGTTTACTCCTTAAATGCCCTGTTACTGAGAGGGAGCCGGGCTGAAGCCAGGAATAAGGACCCAGGAACTCAACTGGAGTTGGCAGTGCAGATGGGGGACAGGCTAGACCCCAACTGCTCTTGCCATCTCTGTTTCCCAAGATGTATGTTCCAGGAGGTTGCGATGTGAAGCAGAGCAGAAATTAATGCGGACACTCCAAGAATGAAGGCGTTCCAAATGGTAACTTAACTTCTGTGCCACAATGGTTGCCCTGAGGCTTCAATTCAACCACAACCTCTTACATGAGACCAGCCACAGAATTCTCTTCTTACTCTTTTGTATTGGTATTGACTAGGTTTTTGGAGCATATCGGATTTCAAAAATTTTTTTATTAGACATGCAGATCATGCCTGACTAAAAGTATTTCTCTGTTTCACAATTAAATTGCTATAAACATGGTGGCAGAGATGATTTCCAGGACCTTTTAAGATTCAATTTATTTCCTCTAGTGACAATATTAATCTACATTTACATCAAGAGTTCCATCTCCTCTTCCAAATAAAATTTCAAGAATAAGATACAAGAGAAAAATAATACCCCAGGATGATAAATTTTGAACATAGCAAGTAGTATCAATTATGATTAGTGGATTTATCAATATTCTTATGAACTACTTTGGTTTTGCAATTTTCAGTTTGGACACAGTAATTATCACTAATACATTAATTTAAAAGTTCTTACAAAGCAAACAGAAAGAAAAATAAAGAAAAGATTTGTAGATTGAACATGAAAGAAATTTATTTTAAGCAACAAGCTTTTAGACCTGAATTAGCAAAAATTCTTTGGTTTTTGAAGTTAATATGTATATTGACACAATGCTCTTGCACCTTGCATAGTCCTCTGTATCTCACTCCTGGTGAGAATTTCTGCTTGTTTCTCGTGTCAAAGTTCACAGCCCAATTTGGTACCAGACTTTGTTGTACATTTCCCAGAGAGGATGTTACAACCCTTGAAATTATTTTTAAATTACATTACACAACCATTTATATCTGTAGTAAAAATCTCCAGCATTAGTTTACATGGATTGAGGCAGCTTACAGACACCGTGGGGTGAAGTTATTGTCTATGGAACCAAAAGTGAGCTAGATGGCTCACTTAGGAATTACAAACTCCGTTGTAGTTAGGCTTGGGAGTGTATGTCATTTTGAAAGCACCAACTCCCACTAGATGTTACAGTATACAGAATCACATTTGTTCTCTTTGAGACATCGCTGTTCCCTGTTCCCCAGTTTGCTCAGGCTGTTGGGCACAGGCAGCATCACTTTATCTTTCTTCTCGACTTTTTCAATTCTTAAAGCATGGTCTCTGGAAAGCCACCAACCATCACCCAGAGACTGTGGGAGAGTGGATGAGCAGTTGATGATTAATTCAGTATGCAAAGCTTGTTTGCTCCTACTATCTACAAACACTCTCAAAGCTTCTTAAAATTAGCAATGTGAGTAGACTAATTCACCCTCAAGATCCTTCCATCTGTGAGGAGTTTAAATAATTCCCTTTCTGTAGATGATTACAAATGTCATCACATTGTTTTCATTCTTTATTTAGGAAACTGAAGGTTACTCTGTGATTAATGTATAGAATCATCAAATGCAAATCAGCTTGTGACATTTTACATTAATTTATAAAATTTTACACTGTTCTATCCCAAATATACAGAGGATTTGCCCATATAATTATATTCAGATTTTATCAGGAAATCATTATTTTTTTAAATTCTTATTTTCATTTAATGAAGGGGGCAGCATGAATTCCATCCTCTTGTTTATTCACCAAATGCCTGCCACAAGGAGGGCTGACTCGGTCCAAAGCCAGATGCTAAGCACTCCACCCAGATCTCCCATGCAGGTGGCAGGGACACTCGCACCATCTTGGAGGCAGCAGGGTGATGGGTGAACGCCGTAGGTCTCTGTCACCCGCACTGGAGAACTGGACGGAAGCTCTTGCTTCTGGCTTGGATCAGTGTTGGCTATTGGAAACATTTGTGGAGTAAATCAGCAGATGGAAAAGTTCTGATTCTCTATCTTTGAACAACAAGAAAATAGAATGAATTGATTAAAAAATTGAGAAGGGCAGAACGAAAAACTGTTGCAGTTCTAAATCCTCTATGTATTCAGCCTGCCTAGAGCCAGACTATGAACACAGTGACTGAGGCACAGGATACACTGCATGTTTCATTCCCTGGCTTGGCCACTGCTTCTCTCACAGGCATTTCCACACAAAGAGGAACAACATTTCATAAGGTAAATATATACATTCATCTGTGAGCATACAGTGGTAAGGACATCAGGATGACTTACGTTTTAAATGAAGAAAAAACTTTACTGTAACAGTATCAAAGGGGTGGGGAAAAAAAGCCATAACATCCAGTCTGAATTTTTATTCTTTGTGTTATTCTCATTTCATCACACCATTATGTTAAAAATGTTAATGTTATAGGTGAAAAGGGTGTACAAGGTGTAAAGTGCCTGGTACAAGGCTTATTCATGTCATGTAGAAATAAACACTAAAATGCTTCTCTTGCTACCATATTTGTTAGCAAACATTTATAAAGACCCTAAATGTTCCCACAGTCTGATGCTGGCTTTGAAGGAAGTGAAACTAATAGTTACAATGTAGTACTCTGTTATTCCTTTTCTCTTTACTTTTTCATGCTTTGCTATCTTACATGGTTTTTAATGTTAACTATATTTTATGTTATTTTTTTGCATAAAATATCCAGACTTACTTTGCTTTATATTTTCAAAGTAAAAATAATGGTAATACTTAAATTGGCATCATACACCCCTCCTTGATCTACTGAGAAGTCCCAATTATGAAGCATGGCACCCAAAATCACGTGTTTTCTTCTTGAACCTAGCATTTCCTTTTCTTATTCAAGGTTTTATTTATTTAAAAATCAGACGAGAAAGACAAAGGCATCCCATTTGTTGACTCAGTCACTCTTGAATGCCTTAAGAGCAGGAGTAGGGGCCAGTGGAAACCCCAAGCCAGGAAGCAGGAACCTAGTTCTAAGGTCGCTTCATAGTGAGAGAGCTGGACCCGAGTCATCCCCTGCTGCCTCGACAATATAAATAAGCACAAAGTTGGGATGGAGATGGGACATCAAGTGCATAAACCCTACTTTCAAACAATAAAAAAATGGCATGTTATTTAGCATATAGCCTGAAAACAATGGCTTTGACCTATTTTTAATTGGTTTACTCTTTACTGTGTTGTAGCTGAAGGTGACATTGGCAGAGCTGGAATTAAGAATGTGTATTTGGATACTCTGGTATATTTTCGAAAAGAAATTTTTGTGGTATAGAGGGGTATTCCAAAATTTCATCAAGTGTGCATCATGAAGAAACATGCATAGACCTCATTGTTACACCAAAATAAACTTAACTGCATTTTGCCATGAACTTTTTGGAATCATCTTTATTTTCATAGTATCAAGATTTATATTTATATTTAAATGGTTTTCAAATTGTTTCATTGAGAATAGCTCATTAACTGCCTCTTTCCACAGTATTTATTGAAGTGTTAAAGGAATATATTTGTCTTAATGATGTAACAAAAACGAATCTGTAGATCCAGCAATGTGATCTGCTGCTAAGTGGTGAGGTTGAGAACAGAGAGGTCTGCCTGTACTTCATTTGGTCCTCTTTTTGCACACATCATGCTTCCCTGTTGATGTGTGGGATGAAGACTCCCTCAAGGAATTCCTAGAAGCCAAGAACTCCACAATCAACAGAGAAAGGTAAATAACATGGACAGATTTCTAAGAGACCTCTGCATGGTAGAGAAGAACCACCAGGGAGCTGGGACTAAAGCACACGTGTACAGCATCCTTGCAATGCACTCACTGAATGGATGCTTTATTGTGGTCTATTTTGCGCCACCCCCCCCCCAATTTCTTTGACATATATACCAGAAATAAAGATAAAGCAGATTTAAATAGAGCATAAGTGAAGGGACTGAATGATAAGAGAACATCTATCTATTTTAAGAATATTCTTTTTCTTGAGCATAAAAATGCACAGACACATGCTCAGTAAATAGAGGAACTGACATTACCTAAGACTCCAGTGTGACCTCAAGTAAAAAGAAGCTTCCTTTCTTAAACAATGCTCAGGCAAAGGGTTACTGCCTCTTCTCTCTCTGTTTGTTTGTAAGATTTATTTTTATTGGAAAGGC